ACGGTTTACCTTACTTTAGGTGCACGGTTTACCTTACTTTAGGTACACTGTTTACCTTACTTTAGGTACACTGTTTACCTTACTTTAGGTGCACGGTTTACCATACTATAGGTACAGGGTTTACCATACTATAGGTACACGGTTTACCTTACTTTAGGTACACGGTTGACTTTACTTTAGGTACACGGTTTACCATACTATAGGTACACGGTTGACTTTACTTTAGGTACACAGTTCAACATACTATAGGTACAGGGTTTACCTTACTTTAGGTGCACGGATGACCTTACTTTAGGTGCACGGTTGACCTTACTTCAGGTACACGGTTGACCTTACTATAGGTACACGGTTTACCTTATTTTAGGTATACAGTTTATCTTACTTTAGGTGCACGGTTTACCTTACTTTAGATGCACGGTTGACCTTACTTTAGGTACACGGTTTACCTTACTTTAGGTACACGGTTTACCTTACTTTAGGTATACGGTTTACCTTACTTTAGGTGCACAGTTTACCATACCATAGGTACACGGTTTACCTTACTTTAGGTGCACGGTTTACCATACTTTAGGTGCACGGATGACCTTACTTTAGGTGCACGGTTGACCTTACTTCAGGTACACAGTTGACCTTACTATAGGTACACGGTTTACCTTATTTTAGGTATACAGTTTATCTTACTTTAGGTGCACGGTTTACCTTACTTTAGATGCACGGTTGACCTTACTTTAGGTACACGGTTTACCTTACTTTAGGTACACGGTTTACCTTACTTTAGGTATACGGTTTACCTTACTTTAGGTGCACGGTTGACCTTACTTTAGGTAGACAGTTGACCTTACTTTAGGTATACAGTTCACCATACTATTTGTACACAGTTTACCATACTATAGGTACACGGTTGACCTTTCTTTAGGTACACGGTTGACCTTATTTTAGGTACACAGTTCACCATACTATTTGTACACAGTTTACCATACTATAGGTACACGGTTTACCTTACTTTAGGTGCACGGTTGACCTTACTTTAGGTACACGGTTTACCTTACTTTAGGTACACGGTTGACCTTACTTTAGGTATACAGTTTACCTTACTTTAGGTACACGGTTGACCTTACTTTAGGTGCACGGTTTACCTTACTTTAGGTACACAGTTGACCTTACTTTAGGTGCACGGTTTACCTTACTTTAGGTACACGATTGACCTTACTTTAGGTACACGGTTTACCTTACTTTAGGTGCACCGTTGACCTTACTTTAGGTACACGGTTGACCTTACACTAGGTGCACGGTTGACCTTACTTTAGGTACACGGTTTACCTTACTTTAGGTACACGGTTTACCTTACTTTAGGTATACGGTTTACCTTACTTTAGGTGCACGGTTTACCATACTTTAGGTGCACGGATGACCTTACTTTAGGTGCACGGTTGACCTTACTTCAGGTACACGGTTGACCTTACTATAGGTACAAGGTTTACCTTATTTTAGGTATACAGTTTATCTTACTTTAGGTGCACGGTTTACCATACTTTAGATGCACGGTTGACCTTACTTTAGGTACACGGTTTACCTTACTTTAGGTACACGGTTTACCTTACTTTAGGTATACGGTTTACCTTACTTTAGGTGCACAGTTTACCATACCATAGGTACACGGTTTACCTTACTTTAGGTGCACGGTTTACCATACTTTAGGTGCACGGATGACCTTACTTTAGGTGCACGGTTGACCTTACTTCAGGTACACGGTTGACCTTACTATAGGTACACGGTTTACCTTATTTTAGGTATACAGTTTATCTTACTTTAGGTGCACGGTTTACCTTACTTTAGATGCACGGTTGACCTTACTTTAGGTACACGGTTTACCTTACTTTAGGTATACGGTTTACCTTACTTTAGGTGCACGGTTGACCTTACTTTAGGTAGACAGTTGACCTTATTTTAGGTATACAGTTTACCTTACTTTAGGTGCACGGTTTACCTTACATTAGGTGCACGGTTTACCTTACTTTAGGTGCACAGTTGACCTTACTTTAGGTACACGGTTGACCTTTCTTTAGGTACACGGTTGACCTTACTTTAGGTACACAGTTTACCTTACTATAGGTACACAGTTCACCATACTATTTGTACACAGTTTACCATACTATAGGTACACGGTTGACCTTTCTTTAGGTACACGGTTGACCTTATTTTAGGTACACAGTTCACCATACTATTTGTACACAGTTTACCATACTATAGGTACACGGTTTACCTTACTTTAGGTGCACGGTTTACCTTACTTTAGGTGCACGGTTTACCTTACTTTAGGTACACGGTTGACCTTATTTTGGGTACACAGTTCACCATACTATTTGTACACAGTTTACCATACTATAGGTACACGGTTTACCTTACTTTAGGTGCACGGTTGACCTTACTTTAGGTACACGGTTGACCTTACTTTAGGTACACGGTTGACCTTACTTTAGGTATACAGTTTACCTTACTTTAGGTACACGGTTGACCTTACTTTATGTACACGGTTTACCTTACTTTAGGTACACAGTTGACCTTACTTTAGGTGCACGGTTTACCTTACTTTAGGTACACGATTGACCTTACTTTAGGTACACGGTTGACCTTACTTTAGGTACACGGTTTACCTTACTTTAGGTGCACCGTTGACCTTACTTTAGGTACACGGTTGACCTTACACTAGGTGCACGGTTGACCTTACTTTAGGTACACGGTTGACCTTACACTAGGTGCACGGTTTACCTTACTTTAGGTACACGGTTTACCTTACTTTAGATGCACGGTTTACCTTACTTTAGGTACACAGTTTACCTTACTTTAGGTACACGGTTGACCTTACTTTCGGTACACGGTTTACCTTACTTTAGATGCACGGTTTACCTTACTTTAGGTACACGGTTGACCTTACTTTCGGTACACGGTTTACCTTACTTTAGATGCACGGTTTACCTTACTTTAGGTACACGGTTTACCTTAATTTAGGTGCACGGTTGACCTTACTTGAGGTACACGGTTTACCTTACTTTAGGTACACGGTTGACCTTACTTTAGGTACATGTCTTACCTTATGTAAGGTACATGGTTGACATTACTTAAAATACAGGTTTTACCTTAACTAGGTGAACGGTAAATAGTAAACATTATTTAATTTGGTATCTAAGTGGTGGCCGTGATGGACGATTCATGTAATAAATACATCACTGTTGGTTTGAAGTGTTCGCAGCTATCGTATGACTCGGCCGTTATAATGCTGATTGTTTAATAGTCGACGTTTGTCATTCTCGATATCCCGAGAGATTTGTTCTGAGTGCTTTTAAAACGATTTACCAGCACCAAGCGACTTTGTTGTTCTGTCACTCTGATCTTCCATGAACACAGTTGATGTGAGATAAAAATTCCTTTAAAATGTGCCAGAGGTTGTCTACCAGTCTCGCGAGCTTTGCCGTATTTAAAACCTAACCTGTTGGTATTCTATTTAATCTTCATATGGAATTACGTCCTACAGGAAATACACTGTCGATATAAATCTAGGTTTTGTGTGATGAAGACACTGGTGAACGTCTATAAATCTGTCTGGTAGGTATCAGCTTTAATTCTAGGAACAGTCACAAAGCAAATATTGAAGAATTCGCTGTAACATTGATATTACGGTAGGAGATGGAGTGGAGATAATGTTACCTGTCAGCGAAATTCACATCGCAAGTATTGCAACAAAATCAAGATGTTTGTGTAAGAATTCGGGGAATTGAATACCGGAGGAAAAATAAAATGATTGTAAAACGGATGTGACTTCATTAAAAAAAAGACAAAAATCGGCGATAAATATATTTCGGATGGTAATGTAAATAGAATTCAAACTCTTACAACACAACGAGTAGACGTTTTAAGTGTGACGTTTAGATGACTACAAGGTCACCTTCATCAGACAAATGACCAGTGTGATGCGTACTAGCACTGACGTACATAGTGTACGAGATGGTAAAGAACCGGCCTTTTTTATTGAGTAAACGATAACTAGCACAATATCATAGTTCAACATCCAGCAATAATATTGACAGTCATTCAGCATTTTTCGTATTTATGAACTATTGTAACTTTCAAACACGGTATTCTCCAGACATATAAAAGAAAACCAGCGCTTTTATCTCCGGACATTTAATGGTATATGTTACAGACGCTGCTGCCTTGCTGGTGTTTCCGGTGCTTTCTGAACATTTGACCTCGCTTAAATTGAACATAATTCGTGTGTATATGGCTCTACAAAGCAGACTTGAAGTACGCCCATCCCTGATATTAGCTTGGGATGATGAGATAAAGGAGAAGCTGGAGAAAATCTATACAGACTGGTATGATGTATGGCAAGTGTCATCGTTTATGTTGCGTCTGTAAAAGATTATCTATCTCCGAGCTACTCCCATAAGGCAGTGTCGTCTTCAAGGCATTCCACTTAAATGTTAAGTTATTGTTTCAGTGAATGATCTTATTTTATCTAATTCACGCTTTGCAGCTATAATACAAAATAAATGTACCTGTCTGCCTTTTTAAACCGATTCACACGTAAAAATAATTCATTTTTGTTAAAAAATTTTACTATATATGTTGAATATTTATAAAAACCAGTTTGAGGGTTTTGCCACTTCCCGTAAATCTATGTTACGTTCAGTCTGGATAAAACTGAATTAATCTATTTTAAATGCCTCACAGAATTTTAAGTTGTTTAGAAGGAATGTTTCCTTTTTTAAAAATCAAGTCTGTCACTGTTTTAAAGCAACGTTTCAACGTCCCATTAGACTGTCGTAAACCTTTTAAGCGACAGTCATTGGCTTTCTATAGAGTTATTGCCTCTTTCTGTTGTTGGTGTTCCTCTGCAATTTTCGTCATCACATTGAATGATAACCTTAAATTGTTAAGCTATAAAATGCTGCCTGCTTCGAAACATTGGTTGTCAGGATGTTTTGGATTTGTCTTTACAGGTAGACGGAGTTGTTAAAAGCACCCATGCGTCCAAGCCTGGAGAGGGTATTATCAACGTTGCCAAGGAAGTCGGCGCAAGGTTGATTGTTACCGGAACTAGGGGACTGGGAAAGATGCGAAGAACTTTTCTTGGAAGTGTCAGTGACTATTTAATTCATCATTCTCATATACCGGTACTGGTGTGTCAAGTGAGAGACAAGAAACAAAAAGTCAATTCGTGACGTCATAGGTGGTGTCACGTGGCCACATAAGCAATCAACATGAACCGGATGTTCATACGTCCAGACAGAAATATTACTATTTACTTACATTATCTTTATCTAATACATATGTTTTCTGACATATACAAAATTCATCAGTTTTGTTTCGTGATTGATGACGTCACATCCGCTGTGGTAGAATTAAGTTTTCAAACAAATGCTGGAACAGGTTGTAACGATTCAGTTTTCGTGAGGACGTGTGCGAAGTAACATCGACATTAATCCACAAGAGTGTATAAATACACGTACCACGAATGACGTCTCAAGAAGGTGACACAATGAAATAAACTAGTGACCCTAATTCATTTTGTTTTACTAACTTGCTTTGTTTATTTTGTTAGTATCGAGTTAGAATCGTCAGTGATCCAATCAGCAAAGGGCGTTATTTTCCCTTGTGGTTGCGTTCTGTGTGAAGGCTTATGACATATGTTCTGTTATTCTTTGTCATAATAATTTACATATCTCAATACACGTATGCAATATGCAATTGAAGTTCATTGTTAAACAACAATCGGAAATATGTACAATTAACAAAGGCTGTATATCTAGAGATTTTGTCACGAATTTTGTCTTTTTCTCATTGCTGTGATGTTATATACAAACATCACAAGTATGCTACTTTTGTGTTGATACAGAGTAAAGAACTAAATATCATTTGCTGGTTCACTGTGAATTTCGTTTTGACATTGTGTAGAATGATTGAAAGCTAGCGTTAATTGTTAGTATATATTAGCGGTATTAAAAACGGTGATGCCACTATGTGTTGATTGTTTTGTGTATTTGCACGAATTATATGCGTTACCAGACTTTGTTGGAATTCTATATAAGGTATGTTGTATAAGAGAACCAATAAATGTATAAATGACACTCTAACGATACTCCATTAACGGTAACTCATCCAGGATTGATTTTTGTGATTTTTTAAATGACGCTGGTTCGGTTGTATGTGATAGGGATTTATCAACGTCATCTATTTCGAAATATAAAGGCGAGTTGTCGGAAATTTCCAGATTTCACATATCCGTCTCCCATTTTATAGAAATGATATGTTTTATCAAATGGTTTTCTTGAAATAATATCGTTACTGAGCAAAATTTACCTCTCAAATAGGCCGCGAATCAAAATATTACGCTAACATTCCACGATTTGTTTCGCAACCATACGTCACAAAACGATATGACGTCATAGAACACCACACTCAAAACAGTCATGTAACAACAGACTTAGATGGCGGTCCACATATAACAGGGGCGTGTGGACCCCATCTGATTCAATCTATGGACGATATCATGGAAGGTCCATGGACAGAAGCTCAGATACAAGTGTTCTCACAACAAAATGAGGTTATTGATGAATCAACGAAATTCAAACAAAAGCCCAGACGAAAGTGGTTTAAAAAGTCACATAACGACAAGGAAGAAAAGAAAGAGGCCAGCGAGAAAAGAGATGCTGCAAAGTCCAGTACGCCCTCCCCGGATGATGTTAGCTGCTGCGAGGGTTTAAAGAGCACGAATGAATACATTGATTTCTCTTTGAAGTTTACGGCGAACAAGAAGCCATCTTTAGACCCCCTTGATTTAAGTAACGCAAAGCATGAAAGGAAAAAGAAGCGTAAAGATAAGAAGACTTCGACTAGTGAATCATGTGACATTAAAAAGAAAGCGGGAAAGTCTAAATGTGCGTCTGCTCAAAGTCCTCGTTTACAGAATAATTTCCAAAGAAATGAAGTACCCGAAGACACTTCAACAAGCCCAACTGATTCTGAATTCTGGGGCTTCGGTAATACGCGTTCACCGCTAAACTTCAATGTAGAACAAACGCTTGACACACGCCCAATTGCCAATCGTCCTGCTTACAAGGACCCGTCAATCTCAGACGACGAGTACGAGGCCGAAATGGCATACCGCTTCCCCATTCTATACAAAAGGTTATCGATACTGCCTTCACTACAAACAGACAGCTGCGAACCTTGTGAACCTCAGCGATATGTTCCGACGCCGAAACCGCCACTTCGCACACCCGAGAATAGAGCTGATCCAAACACAAAACCCACCATGAAGTCTCCGGACTCGGTCATCAATAACAGGAGGGATGCTTATATCATTCAAGACACTCACACAATCAGCCAAAGTTGTGCAACGGGAAATGAAATAAATCCCGCAGACAAAGAGAAAAACATTATGCCAGGTAGTCAAAACAAGAAGAAGGGAAGTCTTGAGCATATCGCGGATAGGGTCATGGAAACGGTTCCCATCAATCTTAGCGATAGACTGCAGCAGAACGAGCATACCATCAAGGATATGAGTATGGCCTCGAGTCTAGAAAGAAACCAAGGTCTGAAAGTATTACACAAAGATGACCTGGCGTCGGACATAGACCGGCTGCTGGAGGAATTGGACGACATCTGGTAAACACATGTAAAAGATAGGATGCTAAATTCACAGTGTTTTTAAGTTTTTGTAAGGATTAAAACAAAAATCAATAGTCCTTAAATGTATCTTTTTATTAATTTTTTTCGCACAGAATCGATGGTAAGCATATCAAAAAATAATCAAAAGTGCTTGGAAGAGATCATTGTGGAAAAGTATATGACAAATAACAGTTTGAGGGAATCGATGAAGCATGTTTCTCTGGGGAATGTGTGTCCAGTATATGGAACTGTTCCATGGATCCCATATGTCCTTAGTTTGTTCATCAATCTGTGGTGAGGGACTGTGGCGAAGGCTTTTCTAAAATCTAAGGACATAATTCCACATCTAGGGCTTTATCAAGGGCTTTTGTCCATTCTCTAAAAGCATTTAAGAGCTGCAAGGCTGGTGACCGTCCTGGCTTAAAACCATACTGCTTGTTGGTAAATAGTGAGTTAGTTAGCATGTGCTTTGTAATGTGTGATCTGATTAGCTTCACAATTGTTTTACACACTATTGACGTGAAGCTTATGGATCTGTAGTTGCCTGTAAGGGAGACACTCCTTTTTTGTGTATGGCTCTTATGTTTGCAGTCGGCCAAGCTGTTGGGATCGTTCCCGATTTTAACTACTGTCTGGATAATCTTGTAATTGGAACTTTGACAGTGTCTGCTGTCTCCTTAATTAGCCGGGGTGTATACTATTTGGACCTGGAGATTTATCTGGCTTTAGCCCTTTAAGTAACTTGTTGATTTCATCTTCATTTATCTCTATACTGCTGAGAGGTGTCTTAAGTTTTTTCGTTCGAGACTTGGTACCTCCTCTTCTGGCTCTACTGTAAATACACTATTTGGATAATGTTAGCCTTTTCTGTAATGTTATTAGTTTTTGCTGATTTCGGGTCTGTAGGGTTTTGTCTATAAGCCTCCAATTCCAGCCTTATTCTTACTCTAAGAATCAACGTACTGCCATATTTTCTTGGGATTAGATTTGTTTTTTTTAGATATTTCTTTCAAAGTTTCCCAGGTCTTGCATGTAAGTTTGGCTACGTGGTTTATCGCCCTAATCTTTTTTTTTCTATGGCCACTTTATCCAACGTGTATTTGAAAGGTAAAGAGCTATTCCCTGTAAAATTACTTGTAAATTACATTATATACTGGTTCCTTCAGGGAGGCATTATTGATAAATTCTTTAAATTCATCTCCATAGGTAGCTGAATACTGAAAAATTCTTTATATCTTGTATCCTTACATCGTTCATGATTCTTTAAGGGAATGTATTCCTCATAATATGGTGTCCTAACAACAATATTCGTCCAAAGATGTCCAAATACTCAACGGGACATTTTTTACCTTAAAAATATTTCAAGTTTCAGTGTGTCGCAGATTAAGTGAAGTATCTTTATACCAATAAAAGAAAAGAAGAATGTGTGTGTAGATATCAATCTATTCCACATTTGGTCCGTAAACAATACAACGTAAACTAATACAACCGTGCATTTTTTTATTTCCCGAGGGAATAGGACGCGTCATTGTTTCCTAAATGTACTGACTTGTTTAACTTCTATGATGCACTACCTGCAATCAAACAATGCACAACTTGACGACAGTTATATGTAATGTTGGAGGACAAACAATGATGGGATAAATAAGCGGTCGGTTCATTATTTCCCAGTTTTGATATATATCCTTTAAGATACTAATGCAAGGGAGGTAACTGCAACTGAATTCATAAGGGATCGAACACTAGCTAAAATGGCATTCTACCACATCACGTCAAGTTATTTATTGCGTGTTTTATTTTCCGGTAAAAAAGGGGGATTGTGAAAATATTCGCCGTATTTGTATTTCAAGATGGAGCAGCTTGATATTTTTTATTCAAACCAATTTTGCCAATTGTTTGTAGTGCATTGACAATCTAAAATATAAATAAATAAATAAAATTCAACACTTCACACTTAGAGAAGATCTCGCTTTTCTCCATTCATGCAATGGACAGCAGATATTTCTGTTCCATAGGGTAGAGAGTGACATCTTAACGCGACCGGAAGTGTGGATATTTCTGTCCTATGGAGTAGAAAGTGATATGTTAAAATGACCGGAAGTATGGCTATTTCCGTCCTATGGAGTAAAAGGTGATATCTTAATGTGACCAGAAGAGTAGATATCGATGTTGGATGGAGTAGATCTATTCAGCTGCTGCACATTGAATGATGTAGAGACTTTAACCAAATATTACTTTTGCAAAAATGGCTTGACAACAGTGTCACTCTGATCTGATAACACCAGCTTTTAAAAAGTAAACAGATAACAAAGTAAAAGTGACAATTCATTTAATTCCAATAGTACATGGTAACAGAAGTGATTGAGCACGTTGTTTTTTTCACTCGGAATGATGACTGTACTCAGTTTTCTGAATTTCCAATGAATAACTAAACATAACTGAAAGTTATGAAAAATAAGCTCAAATGATGAATAGCTATAAATTCGGTTTGACCAAGTTTATATAGCTCAAGGGCAAATTCTCGTTTAAAGACTAATTGTAAATGTATCAAGTGTTTTACTTTGTATGGGCAAGGTAAAACTAGGAGAGGTGTACGTACAGACATTGTTCTAATGAAAGCGCCGTCAAAATGAGAAACAATATGAAATGTGTAGACAGTAGGATTGATTGTACAATAAATATACAATGTTTATACAATCTACTTGTTTGGGAAAAATTTAAGTTTCAATAATTTAATTTATTGGTCATAAATACGATCATGGTTCATCCTGGGAAAGAAGCTATCACTCGTCAAACCTCGTCAAGTGAACTGTGAAAAATATTTTAAATGTCCACATTTTACGTTTTATGAAATAAGCCATTCAAAAGCCAAATCATGGAATCGAAAATAGACTAGATGAAGGTTGCTACACGTATTTTACGTTAGAAACAATTACATTTACAACCTAAAACAGATACTAATTTCAGTCTTCATGATTGTCTACCATTTTGAAGATTTATATTCCCGACGGATGATCTCTTGAAATAAAATTATTAAATTTGATACCAAAATCATTCAGAAAACATAATCATCAGGACTGATTATCTCTAAAATCAATCTACATGCATTAATTTCGTCTCTAAAATTAATCTATGAGTTTCGATACAAAACATTTTAAAATCACATTCATCACGAATCACGTTTGCTCCATGGATGTTGAGTTATTTCTCTGACGTCATCAATAAATTACTTACATTATTTATTTAATGGCGTGATTCAACACATAATGTAGAGAAATGTGGAAATATATACATAGTGACGCATATACCGAACTAAGATAGTGATGCCTTGGTAAACATGTGTAAACAGCGACAGTTTGTAGTTATCATGACCTGTAGCCTTAGCCACGGAGTTGCTATTGAATGTCTTTCTTTGACCGTCCATCTGTCAGAAGCTCCAAGATTTCTTTCCTGTTCTTAATCTGTGCTACTTTGGCCGGTGTCTTTTGGTTATGTCCCTCAGCGTTTATGTCTGCGCCATTTTGTAACAGAAGCTCTACAAGTGATTTATGGCCTGCATCGCATGCGCAGTGGAGTGGCGTGTAGCCGACCTTTGACCTGATGTTGACGTCAGCACCTCCCTGTATGAGGACCTTAGCTACTAGGTCATAGCCGTCATAGCACACCCGATGGAGACATGATACCCCGAAATAGTCCGATTGATTGTAATCCGCGCCATTTTGTACAAGCAAACTCGCGACGGTATGCCGACCTTTTTGTGTGGCGCACAATAGTGGACTCCAACCCTTAGTGGTCGCTATGTTGATGTCGGCACCACTCTCTATCAGTATATGGACAATGTCCATATAACCTTTACCAGCAGCAAGGTGTAAGGGATACCAACCTCTGTTTGCAGTGATGTTGATCGAGTTTTGACGTTTCAAAAGCATTTGTACAATTTTGGCGTTTTCTTCGCTGCCACTGAAGTAAATAGCAGGCCAACCACCATATGTGACTACGTTTGATTTTGCACCGTTTTCCAACAACACACTGACTAAGTGTTTATCGCCGCTCCAACATGCGTAGTGAAGAGGTGTCCCGAATGACTCCTGTTCTTGGTTAACGTCGGCCCCGTGGTTTAAAAGTAATTTGACCATGTCATAATTACCTGTTTGACAAGCGATTATCAATGGCGTCCTACCCCCGGCGTCGACGATGTGTGTGCTTACATCTTTACCAAGCACGTACTTAACGGCTTCTAAATTTCCACTGAAACATGCGCCATGAATACAATCTGTTGTTGGCTCCTCATTCTGTAAAAACTGCCTCAACAGTGAAAGATTACCAGTACGACCAACCCAATAAAGCAATGTATATCCCTTCTTATCCACACTTTTGAAAAATTTCAGCTGTTTTGTGCGCTCCATATTTGAAATGTGCAGACACCAACGAATAGAGAATGAAAGATCACTGATGGAGGGGTTTTGGAAGACAGTATCTATATCTCCATTTATGACATCATCCGTAAAACGCCTGGCGAGTTCTTTGTGGTAGATCTCTGGCAATCTTACTATGGTGTCCTCCGCGACATCAGGGAAAGACTGAATCCGTACGTGTTGTTGAATAAAATGGGCACTGCAGTGTTTCAGTACAAACATTGCGTCTTCATTTGCCAGGACAACACCTACCGCTTCCAGAAGAGACGCATGTACAAACTTGTAGCCAGTATCAGTAACTGTGACGTGTGAGTCACGGAGTTTTTCGATCGCTCGATTTATATCGAACAAGGTTAGATTAGGTAATTTTCGTGATGTCTTTATTGACTCGAGTTTCTCCGCTACCCAGTTGACTGTAGGTTTGGCACCACAGAATATAAAGTTAAGTCTTTCAAAACATCCATTCGGAGGTTTATTAAACGTAGATTCACTTGGCGTCAGGTTATCAAACAGTAGATGACCATCATTCACAAGCAGCAAGATCAATGCTGAAAACGCGACACTGTCTCTTCTTGAAAGCTGGACAAGCTCCTCACGTAACTGTGAAACGGGTTGGAGAAAAAATCTTTCACCTTTTGCTCGAAACATCTCGTCAGATGCAAAAAGTCTGCAGGACAACGGGAAACATGGGGTATCGCATAGTGTTAACATTTCAATTGATTTTGCATTCAACACAATATCCTTGTCGCGCAAATGGCTCCGAATCATCTGAAGCTTTTCAGATGACGAGAGACGCAAATCTGGACAAGAAATATCAATGGCCTTTCCAAACAGATGAAAGCGGTTGACCGTTGCCTTCAAGTCTCTGTAGATATACGTACGGACAGTAGCGATGACCGTTGTGTCATTGTTGTTGATACAACCTCGGAGGTCCTCCTGTAGACGTTGCCAGGCTTCTGCGCGTTCGGGAATAGCACAAGACTCCCCAAAACAATTGTCCACGAATATCGTTTGTTTTTTGCTAGCGTCCCATTTTTTACGCCAGTCATCTGCCGAGTCAATTATGACAAGGTTGTCGCCAGCGACAAGACGGCGCAGAATGAGGTGCCACGCACACGATGTCTTTCCCTCGCCAGAGTTGCCAACAATCAAAACAGTACCAGTTCGGTCTACTTCCTCTTCAATCCGACGATAGGCACGAGTCTCCACAAACTTCTTGTCCTCCTCGCCTCTTTTCTCAATAAGCACCTGCATCAGCTCTGAAACATAATCAGCTTACTTTCATTAAATTAAGCTTTTCGAACTTTTAAATAGAAAAACGGTGATAAGGATGAATAAGAACCTTACGTCACTGAAGCTCTGATTGCAAGCTTATCAAATCAAGCATGTAAGTTATTTCTTTTGGCCCATCAATACAAGCAGGTGCCCATCAAGCAGGATGTATTGCCGTTTGTAACAGAAACAATACACCAGCGATTTTAAATGTGTCTGATTTATAAATATCCACAACACATAAATAAAGTTGCTTTTAGTCGAAAGAAACGTTTAAACGACGGTAAATGTTCATTACTCACGATAACTACCACGTAACTAAAATATGTATACAGTTAATTTAAAGGATTTGAGTCTTAATTTGTACTGAAATACCTCCGTTTCTTGCTGAATATCAGAGTATAGTACACTATATATAGTCAAACCATTAGTGAAATAACACTGTTCCTATAGGGAAACAAAAATTTTGCTTATAACATTTTTATTTATGCTTTAATCCGGTCGATAAAGAACATCTTCATTGGACATTTTTTTGTTGTCACCTCGTAACAAATATTTCTACGTAATTTCGTAACGTCACGTTTGATTGGCTAATGCGGCGATGTAGGAAATTACTAAAAGAGGCCATTGCAAATGTCAAAAGTATAGCGATCAATAATAAGATAACACGGTCTGTCTTTTTCTATGCTATTGATCCATAATTCAAAAACGCAGTGAACTCTTTGTATAGAACATTTTGTTTAAAAAACACTCCATTCCTCCATCTTTGAATAAAGACACCAGTTTATAAATCACTTGAAAACACCAGGAAAAGAGATTATTGTATTAACACGTGACAAGAAGACAATACCAGGACTTTGTGTGTTCATATACCTCTCTGATTGTAAGTTGTTGTTTCATGTGAAAAAATGTCACCTGTCATCAATATGACATTTATAATATCAAATTTATATTGTGTACTTTAAAGCAATGAAAAACTTACTTGTGGTATGAGGCACGTTGATCTCAGCTGGCATTGTGTCTGTAAACAATAACACAGAAATATTTGTCACCTACTAATGCCAGCTAATACAGATAAGAGACTAGGTAATAACCGCGGTTTGTTATCTAGAGTGATTATTACATGCATAATATGTCGACCATCGTCAAAACCAACGAAGTTATTATGAGTATTTTTTTTTATTTCAGACAGGAAACATTTAGGAGTTGATCAGTCTAGCATGATAAGTATTTATAAAACTATGATTTTCTTATGTAAGATTAATTGCAATCTACAGAAATGTATCTTAATTATGATTTTCTTAACGAGCGAACAATAGGATGTCGAATCTGCCACTGAACATTCTTATAACAAAGTTTTAGAAACATTCTTTACAAAAAAATGATCGATATACCCAAAACACGCAAGCATAATATTGGGACATACACACAATGTAATAATTATACACTTACGCTTTTGAATATTGTCGACTTCGTGTCTGTATTTGGCACCTCCTATACTAATCACCGCCGTATAGAGTTCCCCCCAGGTTTCCTCAAATTCCTCATTGCTGATTGCAGCTTTCAGTTTATGACCGTAGAGATCGTTGCGAGCGAGACGCAAGCGTTCAATGTTTGCTGCGTCACTAGAATCGGAGGAATCTGGTTTGACACCCCAACCCAGCATGGGTGGTGCGATCAAAGGTCTAGAGATACCATCGTCATTAGTAATACGGGTTTCCCTAAAGAGAACGTATATCAGGGAAATGTCGAATACCTTTGAACACGGCTCACCGTCTGACGGAAAGAGTTTAGCTCTTCCATGCCCTCCGATACTTGGTTTTTTCTTTAGAATTGATTTATTGCTTGACAAGAAATCAGCAAGTTCACAAGGAGGTACCAATGTATCAAATTTATCATGAAGGACCTTTGTGCCAACATCAAGAAGTAATTGGCAAAGCCGAATGAAGTTATTTGACTCCTTTGTGGATCTCTCTGTGGTGAAAGAGACTGCCGCCATACCTAGAGTATCCGGTTCCAGTATTCTGTAAAGACACAGTGGGTATGTTTAAAAAAGGTAACTTATTGTATTAGAAAGTAACATGAATGTATATTTGGAGAAAATATAACAGAATAAAACACGATTCTCCAAACAGGGCCTTGAAATAGTTTTGCACCTAAGTAGTATTTGATAATCAATTCATCCTTCAACTCCTGCATTGACAATAGCACAACTAATGTTGCAAACAGGTGGGTTTTAAAGTACGACATATACATCAATAGTGTAGTCATTCAAGAAATATTCTGAAGTGAAGTCACTTTGAAATATCATTATCCTGACAAGTTTGTCTGGTCACATGAAAATGACAAAGGCTGAAGGACAACATGGGTCAAATCAAGGCATTATAATGAAAGAAAGGGAACAAAACAATGTACATACAGGGAAGGAAAAAAATAATAACGTGATTGCTTCGTCTCGAGGACACAAGATAAAGTCAAGTGTTACAGAGAGAAGACACCAAATCTGCAATTCTGAAGGGAGATAGCACAACACCAATCGCCAATGCTGAAGGGGTAGCACAAAATACTACGATATGGTACAATACAGATCATCAATGCAACAAGGAGATAGCGCTACAAAATCCCAATTGCTGCTGAAGGGATGTTGCACCTAATAATGTTTATAGGAAAGGGCACAAAATAAGTCAACAATGCTACAGAAAGAGTACACCAAAATCACCGAAATCCCCATTGTTGAAGGGATTATAAAAAATAAATTCCAAAATGCCACAGGGAAATGGCACAAAAGAAATCCCAAATGCTGCTTGGAGATTATGCAATAAACGCATCTGATGATGACACAGAGAGTGTAAAAGCTGGTAAAACGTGGATTGTTTCTCTCATTCCCTTGTCTCGTGCTAGTTAATGCGAAAGAGGAAGTTTATAGAAAACATTCACATCTATATCATATGCATTAAGTGACGCTACATAGATACAGAAATAGGTGCCATTAGGATTTTTTTTTTACGAAAGAGAGGTGACAATAGGCTAATGTTAGAGTATGTCATGAAGAAAACGCATCAGAAGAAAACCCAAAAATTCTTGAAAACCGACGAATTTGAACAAATTTAGAGCAGGCAATTACAGGTACATGTCATACATCAAAACATTTGTTGCTAGATTTTACTATATAACGTGCTTATCTTAATTTCGTTTCCGCACTAACTATAATGCCCATGTTTTAATACGCGCGTCAATCAATAGAATCAAAAACATCACCCACTTGGTCTGTCATCAGGGTCGCATCAAGAGCGTCCATATAACTATTCGTAGATGAATATTTCCAAATACAAACCCTACATCGGTAATAATGTTGTTTCTTTTCATAACTAGTTGATTATTACTCCTTACCGTAGAGATGCTAGACAAATACAATATGTATCTGTGCTTTTATTTATTTGCAAGGAAAGGAAGCGTTTAAAAGAAGCACAAGTATATAGCAATATAATTTACGATTATATCGAATAAAGCCAAATAACGAATTAATCTGCATCGTAAGCCTGGTTTTTCCCTTCTTGGACTCGTCCGTAATGCTAAGGGTCTAAAGCTTGAAAACTAGGAGACTGAAGGAAAAGGGAAAGAGATTTTAAAAAGTCGAAATCTAGTTGGGGAGGTGTACTAGACCTGTAGTACAATATTTTTGTCATTTTCGTACAAGTATACAAGTATAGGACTTGCGTATTCTGAACTATGGCATTAGAAAAATGAGTTTAAACTTGGCTGCAGGTTATAATTATGATAAGGAAGAGCTACGGAAACCAGGAACAAGGAAACAAGAAAGTGTTCTAGATCGTGTAGATAATTGGTATATTCTTTTCAATAGCAGGAATAAATATATTCCGAAATATACTTACATACACGGTCTTTTTGTGGTTATTTTACCCGCAAACTGGTAATGTTTTAGTAGTTTTTATTCCCTAACAAATTGTTAAGTAGGTCAGCAGTGCAAAGACCAATTTTATAAGAATAAGGGGTTTTGTTTGACTCTTCAAACGATAATGTTGATATATACCTTGGTAAATAAAAATATCACAGCATTCAGATTGTAACTCCTGGAAGTCTATGACCTTAACTATTGATCAAGGACTAGAATTTTTGCTCCCACTAACCCCATTATTTTGCCGCGAAGAGATAATTGAGAATTGACAATAAAACAAAAAATGGAAATGATATTTATATTGGAACACTAAGATAACATATCATTAAAAATTTCCAACTAAGTCATGGGATGCTTTCGTAGTAAAATCACAAACAAGAGTAGTCTTTGTCCTCAATAATGATTGTGTTATTGCGTACAAATTGGATTGATCAATGCATTTGACCTCACGCAACAATCAAAATTATTTCGAAATACACCATTTTTATTTAAGGTGAAAGATTTTCCTAAATCGTTAGGTTCAGCAAAACGATCAGATATGTTTAAATCACGAAAAATATTTAAAATTTTTTATTTCCCTCAGGGAAAATGCTTTTTTTTTTTAAATTTTTTTTTGTTTTGTTTTGTCAATATCGAAGTTTTTTGAAAATTGCATACATACTCCACTACTCCAACCATTTCGTTAGAGACTACTATACTATAGTAAAATTATAGTGTTCGGCTACTTTGCAAACTGTCCTGATATCAGGTACTCTGTTTTATCTTTCTTTTATCACAGTTTTGCCAACAAAACATGAACAACAAAAATATTCATTTGAAATCGGTCAGGTATGCAATATCTCCTTTTCTCAATTTTGTCTCTTTATGATAATGTCATGATCTTGCATTTGAATATCATGATGCAAATTTGTTCAAACATAAATAAAATATTTCATAAAGCTATCATCTATTTCGAAAAAGAAATTGTACCAAACCTACGTGACAAGAAAAAATATTGCATTTTATGCTTTGAAATATTTGTGTTGTACTATTTCATATCTATATTAAACACAAACAATAGTTAAACAAAAGATTTTGTATTTGTATTTTAAACGAATTAAGTATATGTAACTTGAACTGTAAATGGATTAGGACATCACTCGTATGACCTAACCAAGCTTTTACATGGCGGTTGTCATCGATGAAGAAAGGCACTTACTTTTCCGTAATAACTGGTCATATTCTCATCTGGGTTTTTTCTTCTATTATTCATGATTCATGATTTGTCTTCGTTTTTAAGTTTAAATTAAGATCTAGTTACCATGTCGGCATTTGCTTTGTTCTTGTTGTATATACTAACGAAATTGTACAGTAACGTTGTTGATGACTATGATTAGAAAATTGTAAGCTTGTGTGTTATGTTAAACAATGGTGGATTATCATCATGTAAACAATGTAAATACTTACAGGTGGTGTTTGTTTGTTTTTCAATAATTATAAAAAGAAACTGCTACATTTCTTTGCGCACTGATCATGGGGATGTATCATGGATGTTGGTATTGTTCATTAACTTATTTATTATTTAATGTGTATGGACAATGTAGAACTAAAATAAACTTTAATTGTTTTGTTTGTGTTTGTTTGCTTGTTAATCTATCCATTTTCCTATCTAATTTATTTATCTTTTTGCATAGGTATCGCGTATATATCATTATTAAGATCTTTGGGGTGTAGAAGTAGAAGCCACATGCTATTCCATACCTACTTCCCAACTCCAACACCAGTTTTTCGATACATCCGCTAAACTTGAGTTTTATCTGGTGTTCAAATTTTTATTGCGCATGTCTGTTATGGTCAGGAATAAATAATCTGTCGCGTGATACTGGAATTTACAATCTAAAGCTGGTGTAAGTGGGAAAACCGAAACAAGAGGTTGAATATCCACCTCCTCTAACTGTGTGTAAATAACGTAAAAGCATTAAGCATATTCGTTATTTTATCATTTATCACATTATGATGTACTCTTCCTACCACTACTACTACTACTGCTGCTGCTGCTGCTGCTGCTGCCGCCGCCGCCACCACCACCACCACTACTACTACTACTGCTACTGCTGCTGCTGCTGCTGCTGCTACTACTACTACTGCCACTACTTCTACTACTACTATTACTACTACTACTACTACTACTGCCACTACTTCTACTACTACTATTACTACTATTGCCACTACTACTACTACTACTACTACTACTACTACTACTACTACTGCTGCTGCTGCTGCTGCTGCTGCTGCTGCTGTTACTACTACTACTTCTACTATTACTACTACTACTACTACTACTACTACTACTACTACTACTACTACTACTACTACTACTACTGCCACTACTACTACCACTACTACTACTACTATTACTACTACTGCCACTACTACTACTACTACTACTACTACTACTACTACTACTACTACTACTACTGCCGCTGTTACTACTACTACTACTACTACTACTACTACTACTACTGCCACTACTACTACTACTACTACTACTACTATTACTACTACTGCCACTACTACTACTACTACTACTACTACTACTACTACTACTACTACTACTACTACTACTGCCGCTGTTACTACTACTACTACTACTACTACTACTACTACTACTACTACTACTACTACTGCCACTACTACTACTACTACTACTACTACTGCTGCTGCTGCTGCTGCTGCTACTACCACCACCACTACTACCACTACTACCACCACCACCACTACTACTACTACTACTACTACTACTACTACTACTGCTACTACCACTACTACTACTACTACTACTACTACTACTACTGCTGCTGCTGCTACTACCACCACCACTACTACCACTACTACCACTACTACCCACTACTACCACTACTACCCACTACTACTACTACTACTATGTACATAAAGAAAAATTATTTACTAAATATAGATTGTTGGTGGAATTAATTCACTACCGTAGATAAATTTTATACGAAGAGCCAAATGTTTGTACAAGATCAAGTCAGTTGTGACAGGAAACAATATCAACAGGATAGGATTGGAACGTTACTAAGTGA